CCTGAACAAAAACCAACAAAGCCACTGAAATATAGCTAAAAAATAATTGAGAGATCAATGGGCAATAACGCGGGATTAGGCGTTATAGGATGGTAGGAAATGATTGAGCTATATAGAGAGAAAACGAACCGTGACGAGATTTTAAGTGGGGAATATGACAGCGAAAGGGTATCGAGTGTGATGAAGGTGTCAACACACAAACGATGGCGAGGTTTTAGTAGAAAATATGACAGGAGAAGCAGTGAGGAAGTCTTCAGTATATGAGAGGTCGCGAAAACAAACGATGGCGAGGTTTCAAGTAGCAAATATGACAGCGCTGATGAGCCAATAAGAATTAAGGACTTGAATATATGGGAGCTCGCGAAAACAAGGAAATATAGCTTAACAGAGTGAGAGAGCGTTTATGTTCTCTCTCTCTCTCTCTCTCTCTTTCTCTCTCTCTCTCTCTCTCTCTCTCTCTCTCTCTCATTGTCTCTCTTCTCTCACACACACACAAAACGCACACTCATCTCGACATTACACACACACTCTCTCTTCTCCGCTGTCAGTGAGAGGAGCGTCTCCTTGCTCTAGCTGAAGACGTCCTCCCCGCTCTCGGCGCTGACGTCGACAACAGGACGCAACATAATCACGAGAGCAGGCGAGGCAATTCAATTAACGCGCCGCCAATTAGACGTTGTATGGAGCGAACCGGACCCCATAGCCTGCCTTCGTCGCTCTCGCGCTCCTCGATGGTCGCATAGCTCTGTTCGCCTGCCTGCGGATCCTTGGCGAAGCAATAGCGAAATGAAGCTATATAGGGAGATCATATACGCCGATCTGCCCACGCCCGGTGCTCGCATCGTAATGGGCGAGAACAGAAGCCACACAGCTGTGCCGACAGAGGCCCTGCAGCCGAAACAGAGGCCGCCATGCAATGTCAATGCGTTCGGCAGATCACCGCGGCGCGGAGGTTATTGATTCGCGGGGCGGTAAATACCGCCCCCATCATGATCCGGTCGGCTGTACGACGCTAAGCCGGTAAGTAATCCGAAAATAAACGCTGGCGGACGGATGCGGTAATCTTGCTAGTATTATATATATAATATATGATATATATATGATATTTATAGATATCAAACAGAATTGAATACCTGATTTATTGTTAGTTAGTAATATTATGTATATTTATATATAGCAGAATAAAGATAGGAGGAATGGTATAGAAGGAAGTATTAAGAACCACGCGGTTATGTCACAGATTAGAACATAGAGAAATATTGAGTTAACTGGATGTTTATCAGAAAATTTATTTTTAGGAAAAATCAATAAATTTTTCGACCCAGTTTTTGATTACGGTTTCACGTTACACTCAGATTTTGCAGAACTGAGCGAGTTGAGACGTAAAAGCTGGTTGGTCAAAAAATTTTAACATGTAGTTCGCTTGAATAAAGTAAACACCAGTTAAGCCACTATATATTTTATGTTACTTATATATAATATATATATGTATATAGTATATATATATATATAGCACGTCCGTTTTTAATTCGGGTGCTCAGTTGACCTTTATTGTCATCGGTAATCAAACAATATAAGCGTGACACAAGCATTGTTATAAATTTGTATCCTGACTTTTACTCAATTTGTCTTCTCCATGTTATCATGCAAATGTGTAAATTAAAATTTTTGTATTGTCTTGTACGCACCAGGAAATTTTATATCTATAGCATACTATAGCTACTGTTTTAGGTAACATATAATTAAAGCGCAACACAAACCCACAACAACCTTACGCGACGGCAGCACACACGCCACACAGCACACGCACGCACACACACCACACGCAACACACCTCACACACACACCGCACACCACCACGCTACCGCACAGACACACCACACGCGACCGCCACACGACACACGACACACACACGGCACTGCACAACCTCAACACAGCACCACGCGCGGCGGATGGCGCAAGGCTCACCGGTGCAGAGCCAGTCCACACCGCACCACACCAGCGGAGGCTGGCGCACACGTCACACAGTACTGACCCGCGAGCACACAACGCACTTTTCGGAATCGCGACCAGCAAGTCGCACGCGACGCCAGCGCCACACACGACGCCACACGACAGCACGCGACGAGCACAGCACACCAGCAGCGGCCCAACGCCGCACACTACACTGCCGCACTCTCGATCGGTAACACGGCCACGCACACAGCACCACTGCAGCGAAAA